GCGTGAGACATTATTAATGAGGTGTTTGGGGCTTTTAATGGTTATGTCCATCGCTGTGACATCCCAATTTTCAAGGTCAATTTTTTTTTATTTTAATTATGTTACTTGTAAAACAGTTTACTGAAAAACATCATCAATATCATATCAATCATAATCCCATAAGTCAAATATCATACAACATGTCATGGAATAATAATAATGTCAGAGTACAATCCCAAGAATCTCATAATGCGGAAATCTGGTGTACGTGTGATGTGCAACTACCGTGCCGACTCATTCCCCTTCGCTGAATAGGTGCCTGAAACAAAACTAAAAACTATAAGCATGAAGCTTATTGAGTTCCCTCATCATACAACATATCATACATAACACACATACTGTCAGGCATATATGGGTGCCCGAATTACCCCTTTAGTCCTTTCGACTGGTAACCTTGCCTAGCGTATCTGAGTGCTGGCCTACCCCTTCTGTCCTTTCGACCGGTAACCTTGCCTAGCATATCTGGGTGCTAGCCTACCCCTTCGGTCCTTTCGACCGGTCTAGGGGACTATTTCACCCCTACTACTACCACATAATATCATAGCACATAACATAATCTGTCTAGCATAACTGGGTACTAACTACCCCTTCGACCCTTTCAATCGGTACTAGGGTCTATCCTACCCCTCCTATCGCATATCACATAACATTATAGCATACTAGCACATAATCATAACAGATAGTAAAATACCAAATAATTATCACAAAGACAATCATCTCAACTATAACTCTTACTAGTGGGTCACCCTTGGTTCCTTAGACCCACTTCTACTGGAAGGTAACCCACCTCTTAAAAATGTGTGTCGAATCTCGTGGAAGTAGTCTCTAACAGCTGCTTCGATGACTCCCGACTATCATGATCACATTAACACTCAATCAGAGTCTATAACACTACTTATGGTAAAATGACCATTTTACCCCTTGGTCAAATTTGGAACATTCATAAGACCCAATACTGACTTCTTAAACCCAACCTTCATATGGCCCATCAAAGGCTCCCTAAGAGCCCACTAATTGCCTAATTTATGAATTGGACCATATCCCCCAAATAGGCCCATTACAAATCCAAAATGTTCCAAGTCCAAATATAATAATTCGAAAGGGTCTAATCATGGCCCAATAGGCTCAATGCTCTTGCTCTAAATTATCAAGTCCAAAGTTATACTCCACAGTGGGCTACGGGGTCCTAATAGTCCATGCCCAGACCCTTAAGGCCCAAAAGCCCAATATATCCATTCTGCATGCGTACGTGCGGCGTACCTGGCACGTATGCCTAACGTACGCTGGCCTTGACCAAAACGAGGAGTTGACCCAGTACGCACAACGTACCAGGGTGTACGCTCAGCGTACTGGCCAACTTCCTTTGGAAATCATTTATGACTTAATCTAGTAAGTCCTTACGTCCAAACTATAGATCCAGGCCCCTTAAGACCTCCTAACCCATAAAGTCACAAACTTTATGTGCTTGCATGCATGGTTGGCTCTCAAAACATGATTTTTGGTCCTCTAACAAGCTTAATGGGCATCAAACACTTGCATGGTTGTCACTTAACCATCAAGGTCCGGTTTTTATGACCTTAGGTGCCTTCAAGAGCCCAAAAGGACGACTCTTAGGCTCTGAAACTATTAAGGCTCAACTATTAAGGCTCAAGCATCCCCAACAAAGGAGCCCAAAAGTGACATAAAACTCCCCAAAATCAAATCAGAACATAGAATGATCAAGTTTGAAGCTTGATACCTAAAATGAGTCAGAAAGGCTTCTTATCTTATGGATCTACAAACTCCTATTTGAATCCTTGCTCATTCTTCAACCTCCACTTTTTCTAAAACACCAAAAATCACCCAAAGAAGCTCTCAAATGGCACAAACACACAAAGACACACAAACAGAGGCTAGGGTCTTCGTGGAGGCTATATAAGGGTGATAGGGAGGCTGAACCAAAGGCATAAGGTCCTTTAAATAGGGATCAAACCCTAAAAGTTAGATTTTTAGAACCTGCGCGCGTACGCTGCGCGCACCCTTTGGTACGATGGGCGTACGTGCATGGCCTTCTCACCCCATCCTTTTGAGTACGTTGCACGTACCAGGCATGGTACACCCCGCGTACTCCCTTTCTTGGCTCAAGACTTAAGGCCTAACAGTCGTGGCCCATATTAACAACATCCCATTAATCAAATAAATAAATAAATAATATTAATACCTACAAATCCCGGATGTTACAATCGCGATCTTGACTACTTGATTGCTTAGGTCATGTGTTCTGAACGCCATAACTTCTTCATATGATCTCGTATTTTAATGATCTTTATATCTATTCATTCATATTTTAGTCTACTACAACTTTTACTTCCGTTAAAAAGTAATATATTTTTACTTACGATCTTTATATCCATACGTTTTTTATGAATGCATGTATGGATGTTTTTTTGTATAAAATCGTAAGTAAATATGTATTACATTTTAACGGGAGTAATCTTAACAAAAGTTATAGTAGATTCAAAAAACGAACACGTTGATATAAAGATCGTTAAAATATGATATCATATGAAGAAATTACAACGTTCAAAACACAAGCATAAGCCAAACCATAAGAACTACGCAACCAAGTAGTCGAGATCGCGTTGAACATAAGCATCAATAACCTCAAACACCTCATCAATGATTGTCCCATATAAAGTATCGTGAGAAAAACCTAAAAAAATTATTCATAAGTATTGAATGAGTACAAAAACAAAGATGACTTATTTTGAAACAAAAAATATTAATATCTAAATATGCACAAAAATAGTAAGAACTAAATGTATACAAAATAAGAAATATATTACTTTATTAAGTTATTTTTCCCAGCTAACTTATAGTAACTGGTCATAAGGACTGAATGTGTAAAATTTAACAAGTTTAAAGAGTAAATGTGAACGAAAAAAAAAACTCAGTAAACAAATATATACAAATAAAAAAATATTTTACATTTTGAAGTCATTATCCCTTCTTACTATCAACATAATATGTTTGTACTAAATAATGATATTATTATTATTTTCATTATTTAAACTATGAATTCATGTAGTTTTGTACCAAACAAAATAAATTTACAAAAATTATTTATGATCGTATCATTTATATATAGTTGTTTGGATTAAAACTTTATTTGATATCTTTGTGGTCCAACTGATATGGTATAATCGTTATCAGGAACGAAGCTTCAACATTTTATCTTGGGGGCTGAAAATATATTTATATATAAAAATCGGTGAGCAAGGAAAATCACAGCCAAAATTTTATATTTTTGTCTAATATATATAAAATTAATGTACAGAGGTTATTTCTAAAAAAATAAAAAATAAAAAATCAAGGGATTTCTACTAGTTTAAATACGATTTTGATAATTTGTTACACAGTTTAACTTTAAATTATAATATTTTACAAATTTGTAATATAAACATATTGATTCATTATCTTCATATCTTGATATAAAAATGAACAATTCAGTCAAAGCGGCTCAAAATGTATTTCACTGTGTTAAGATTGAACCACGCGTCCAGAAAATGGACGGCGGAGAAGGCGCGTAAGATGAGTAGCATAGGCTGTAGCGCGTGGATAACATGATTTGTACTGGATTGACAAGTAGTACAAGACCCTGTTTGGAGCGACACGTGGGTTGATGTTTGAATCATGTGATCTTGATGTTGGTTAGAAAATAGGATAAAATCACATGTTGGTTACAAATGACAGACTATCCTCCTTCACATAAATTCGGAATGGGCTGTATGCCTGTACATCGTAACAACACTTGGATTTATATATGGACCAAATGGATCGAATCAAGTTTGGTAGGTGACGTATCTTAATATTTAGTTTGTAAATTTGTTTATTTAAAGTGGGCTATGTTCGAGTGACGGATTTTAGTTAGAAATATTTATCAAAAATAATTTGTAGATGCAAATTTAAGTTGTTATTTAAGGATTTTTATAAAAATATTATTATAAGTAAATAATTAAATACGAGATGTATTAATTATAAAAAAATATTCTATATAATTAATATATTTTATATTGATAATATTTTCTATAATTAGTGTTTTTATATATCTCTTTAGGCACATATTAAAAAATCTATATTATTTAACATTTAGCAATTAAATAAAAAATAAATTTGGTTAACTTTTATAAACTTGTTCCAACATGTGTATTAAATGGGTCGCAACACCCATCATTTTGGCATGTATTTTCTCTTATAAATGTTTTTTTGGTAAGAGTTGATATTTTTCCGGTGTTTATGTGAAAGTATAATTTCTTCATGAGAAATAAATTTAGACCAAGATCCGCATTTAATCAAAATGCATTGAAATTGAGTGTTGGGTCCAATGTTTGAGATATCCTTTAGACTTTTGAATTTGATTTTTTAGGATAAAAAATATAAAAATTAAAGTTTTTATTTTTATACTACTAAAATTAGGGTTTTATATAGAAAAGTCTTGTTACATTGGATTTTTTTTGATGAAGTCATAAATTTTTATTTTTGAACAGAAAAATCCAGAATATTTAATATTTTGCCTAAGTTAACGAAAATGTTTTTATTTTTATTTTAACAGGAAATGACAAATTATCATGTAAAATTAATTAATCAAGTTTTTTCTGTTCATTTTTTTAAACTTTGTCAAAAAAAAAAATTCTTCCAAATAATGAAAATTTTATGCATAAAACCAACTAAATTTATGACCCTATTATTTTTATAAAGATTCTGCGATAATAGAGAAACCATGCGAAAAATAAATAAAAGATTTTATTTTTTGTGTTTTCACAAGTTTTTTTTAACAATTTCCCACGGAATTTGCACAATTATTAATTATTTCCGGAAAAATACCATGTTTTTTTTGTTAAATAATGAAAACTTTTATTTTCTACAAATATAAATTATTATAAAAATTAATACTAAAAATAAAATATGTTGGTGGTGACTCCCCCACTTGTGATTTTAGATTACATCCCTATTCAAACAACTTTAAAAATCAATTCCTCCACATCTTGCAGTCCTTACTTTATCTTCACAACATCATCGGAGAGTTGCAGCAAATACCATTCTTGTCCCTAAATTTCATCCGATCAGTCTAGCTTACTTACTTTACTAAACTCTGTATCTTTGACCATCAAATTCCAAGGAACAGATTCACATTTCCCCTTTCTCCAGCTCGAAATCAGCCAATTGGGGTGCATTTGTTTGATACCAGAAAGATCTTGATAAATTGACAAACAAATCACTCGAGACTAGCCTCAAATTCACCTTGGATTTTCATCTACCCACCAATTCGATAAATTGAGTTGTTGGTATTCAGTATTCTTGTGTGTTCTTGAATTACATAAACTGGGTCGAAGATGACGATCGAAACGTTTCCAGGGAGTTCAGGGTTTATAGATTCTGGCCATGATAAGAAAATAACTTACTTTAGCAATACATATGTATTGGGTTTAACTGTTGTAGCTGGAATCGGGGGTCTCCTTTTCGGATACGACACAGGTCACCTTCTTTTTCTGTTTTTCTTTTGTTGGATATTATACATATGATCTCTATCTTGGTTTGATTTGGTATAACCCACGGTTGATAAAAGTAAAACAACATAGACTAAAATTTATCATTATTAATCATAATTTTAAAACAATTATATTTATACAACACCATTGGATGTTTTGTTCGTAAGACCATTATCGTTATTTTTAATTAATATGTAAAATGTTTTCAAAACATAATTAATCTTTTGGCCACATCCTATGAAAAAAAGATTTTAAAAAATAAATAAAAGTACGATATCATGCTATACATATAGTTCAATCAGTTCTATTTTGTAGTCGAACAAATTGCTTTTTTAATCCAAATGTTGCATGATATGAAAATCATAAAGTTTCTCTTATATCACATTTACATATATAGACTCATATGGTTTTACATGATTTTAAAATAATAAAAATTCAACTTAAGGTTACTAACAGATAAACACTAATCAAGCATCAAATGTGATTTAAGTACATATTTAATTGCATTAAGATACCAATACAAAGAAATAAAACTGAGGTATATGCTAGTAATATTACAATAATACAAATTAAACATAAAATAAATCATGGATCCAGATATGCATTTAATCACATGTGTGATTGTGTCCTTACAAAAATCGTGTCCCTAAAATGAAAGTGGCATGTCAATGTTGGTTTATCCACAACAAAATAAAACCACAGCTCCAGTTAATAACTTAATCATACATAAAAAAGGAAAAATTAAAACCATATCTCTACATCACACCAAAACCAAATTTTAAAGAATCATAAAAACGTAAGAAGATTCATATCTGTAGGGGATGATTATACAATTTATATCGAGCTCATCATTTTCTCCATTGATGATAAGAAATAAATTCTTTTCCCATGGTTTTTAGAGAGAGAAAGAACCAAGGGTTATGATGGGAAGCTTGAAGGAAAAATTAATTTCAAAATCAAAATAAGAAAATAAAGCACCATTAAAATGAAAACAAGGAGCCGTGTGTAAGCATGAATGTGGAAAATTGGGGACTTCACTTTCTAATGGCTTGAATCCGCCACTATATGAGAGAGAGAGAGAGAGAGAGAGAAAGATTTCCCTTCGTGAATCTGGATTGATGCGTACAGCAGCAAGGAGCGGAGGGGAAACCATCAGACTCTGTTTCCATTTAACCCATTTGCAGCAAAACGCAGTTGAATAAACCTAAAAAGCTGTAGATGGAGATATATGTGAAGAGCGAGATTTAGGGAATTGAATCTCACATTTGGTAATTTGGATTAGATAATTAAGAATTTCAAGATTTTGATTGCACATTTCACGGGATCTGATTTGGAGATTGTTTTTCAATTAAGGAGATATATATGAGCGGGAAAATACAATAAAGGGTAAACAGAAAAATGACACCTGGCAAAATAGAATGTAAAAAAATGACACGTGGCGTTTAAAAGATGTTTTTATTAAGCATGGAGATATACGCTAAAACTACTCAATTATCATATGCATCTTTCAGGAGTTATATCAGGTGCTCTTTTGTACATTCGTGACGAATTTGAAGCAGTTGATCAAAGTAGTTTTCTACAAGTATATCTTCGATTCCCGACTTAATCGATCAATTTTTCTCAACATTCAACTTGTTTATGATAGTTTATATAAATATGTATATGCAGGAAACAATTGTAAGCATGGCATTAGTTGGAGCGATGATTGGGGCTGCAGCTGGAGGAGCGATAAATGATGAATATGGGAGAAAAGTTGCAACTCTTCTTGCAGATGTGATATTTGCATTGGGATCTTTTGTAATGGCTGCTGCATGGAATCCATATGTGATTATATTTGGTAGGCTTTTGGTTGGATTGGGGGTAGGTGTTGCATCTGTTACTGCTCCAATGTATATAGCTGAAGCTGCTCCATCAGAAATAAGGGGAGGTCTTGTGAGCACCAATGTGCTTATGATCACTAGTGGACAGTTTCTTTCTTACCTTGTCAATCTTGCTTTCACTGAGGTTAGATTTTTTGAACTTTTATGTTTTTATGTTATCTTCTTTGTGATGCACTGGTTTTCTTGATTTAGAATAAGATAATTTAGGATAGAAATATAATCATCATTATCAAAGATGGAGCATAAGTCGAGCACACTAAAGAACCTTGTTTTCAACTTAGCATAAGAAAGGGATTACAATCAAGAGGAAGTATCTTGTTATTTGTTTCTCCATATGATTATTTTGACAATAATCATAAAAAGAACTTTTATCGTGATCCATGAGTATGGGTCAACCAATTAATGACGTATCCTTATATTCAAAGAGACTAAATCATTAAGAGAAAAACATGAAAGCATTTGTGATTTTTGCATATTAATATGTTACAAAATAACTTCAAGCATGCCGACATGAAAACTAAAAAATGACTAAATGAGGATTCTATCAAAAGGCTTACCAACGATATTGCCAAAAAATTAATGAAATAACATGTCATGCTTCAATAAAAATTAAAGAAACATTTACAGAAACATCAACAAAAACCCACCAAATGTTGGTCGATATTTGATTAGGGTGATGGTGGAGAACCGGATTTCTCTTGGATCGTGTAAGTTTATTTTTTGAACTGATATTTCCACCCTATGTTTGAGTTACAAGAAATCTAGTCTAGGATAATCCAAAAGTACACTTGTGTATCTAAGCACAGAAACACAAACCAAAATCGCCAGAGGGTTTTTGAGTTCGTATAAAAGGAGGGTTGAAGAAAGGTTATATCTTTATGGCTCAAAAGAGGAGTCGTATAAATACATGACAAATTAGGGTTAATCTTTTATATTAGTTAGGAAAATCACAAAATTAATGGTATAATAAATGGTTACTAAAGTTGATAAAATTGATCAATTTTACCATGATCACCCATTAAAATTTGGTTTTTCCATAATGTAACTCATTCAAATTTCCGAAGACCTTTTGGGGCGCTGCCCCAAACCGCGAGGGGCTCTGCCCCTTGGACCCCACTAGGAGCTCTGCCGCTAAGACCCTGCAAGGGGTGCACCCCCCTTACCCCTATTTTTTTGTCGTACCAGCTTATAAGTCGATCTTATATATCCATGCACTTCGCATTCATCAAACATATAATATAGAGCACAAACGATAAACCTTTTAGCTCACATGTCAGTTCCAATTACACAAAATGTCAGGTGACACTAAATCACCAACACCAAAATCATTATATATTTCATTTATTGATACATATAAAGAATGCATTTTTTTTAAAAAAGTGCTAGAAAACTAATAACATTAAATCATAAAACCACAATTATTCATTTGACCACTAAAACGCAAAGATATAAATTACAAATAAAAGAAATTAGTAGTGAAGGTTTTCTAATTTAATATCGAAAATGAAAAGATTAATATCACTGAAATACTAGAAGAACCCTCCACTCCTTGGTGTTGATAGTGACTGATCGCATGATATGAACTGAGAACCCTGACGATATAATGAATGTTATTAGAAATTGTCAAGGTTGGTGTTTCCCTTCGAGTCCCTTGAGTCCCACATCACTTAATTCATGAAATAAAGTGGATGGAGTTCAACTATAAATATGAGTGCCTTTTATTTTTTGCTAAAATAAAGTTTTGTTCTCTTTTGAATTGGAAGGTCGTTTTGAGTTGGATGGGGTTTAAAGAGGCATCCGATTATGAGTTGGTCTAATTTGGTCCTACTTTGTACTAAGTTTGTCTTATTTGGACCTAGTTGCATTGTTTTCTTGAACGATGCATTGTTTTCTTGAACGAATTGAATGATTTTAGAGTTTTTATTTTTAGCCGAAATGACTCAAATTGTCTTGCTAAGAGGCGGAGTTAGCCGAGTTTACAATCTTGAATTTCTGGTTAAAAACCGAAACCACACCTATACAAACCAAAACCATATGCAAAACCGCAAAACCGAACCTAGACAAAAACTGCACATATTAGTTTTAGGCATATATAAACCACATCTATTGGTTTGCGGTTCCGTTTGGTCCAAAACTGACACCATGCTTACTCAACCGTTGAACGATAATCGATTGTGGGTGAGTCGACGAGAAGATAGGTATAATCAATCAAGCAAACCGTTGTCGAATGATAAGAAATTTTTCTAATTTGTCTCCAACCCTACGAGACATACCTTGACTTCTGTTTTTAGGTGTCGGTATTAAGGTTGATTCACGAAATATATTTGTTTATCAAGTCTTGTTGCCTTACTCTCTACGTTCCAGCCATATTAACGGAGCCCAAAACAATAAAACTTGCGATATATATATATATATATATATATATATATATATATATATATATATATATATATATATATATATATATATATATATATATATATATATATATGATGCCCCGCCCGGCCTGAAGCCTTGTTGCAATATTCATACAATGCAGTTCTATTGTCCATTGGGGTGGTTATCTCAAATATTAATCATCAACAATTACATATGAAGCGAATCGATCATCGAGCAACATAGGCTTGTCATCCTCCTCTTTCACAAATTGGATTCTCAAACAGATGAACAATTGAACTCTTCTTTCCACATATTTGATCCTCAAACTCTAGAAATTGGAATAAAATTTTCCGAACGCAACTGAAAATCTAAAAGGATTGATTTTTTTTTTTGCCATTGAAGTAGTTGTTAGATTTATGATTTGGAAAGGGTGAGCCTGAACCGTGATTGGCGATTGTATGAACATTGGCATTGCCAACGAGACAACTTGTCTTTTATTTTAAAAGAAATTGGGTGTATGCAATTTTTTTTTCCTAATTTTATAGCTTTCTGTCATTACTTTTCATTTTTAAGACTGTGATTGTTGATGTCCTTTGCTTGCTACATATCAACGGGTCTGTGCTAAGTTGAGCTGAAGTGTAGGACACTTGGACCAAAATTTGGTCTAAATAAATGTTATACCTACAAGAGATGTACTAAAAATCGTGCCCTTCCCATATTTATGCCTTATGGTGCCCGACCATGATTATTACATTATAGTTATAAAAATAGAAAGATTGAAAATATTATATAGCCATTTCTAAATTTTATATTTTGTAAATGAAGTATCATGAGTTTAATAAAATTAGTTAATTAATAAAGAAATAATATATATTTTAAACTTAAATATAACTAATTGAGTAAAATTAAAGGTCGTTATATGAGATGGTGTTAGATGTACAAAACCTAAAAATTATATATATATATATATATATATATATATATATATATATATATATATATATATATATATATATATATATATATATATATAATACTATCTATTCCAATGGTGTTGACTATTAAGTGGTAATAAGTGATCGATAAAAATAGTAATTAGTCATAAAAAAATCTCTTAAAGAGGCTCTTAACGACCCCTAAAAGCTTAATATATATATGATAAATCATATTACAATTCCATAGACCAATCCATCAAGTCTCTTTTCCTGCTAAATTACATCCAAGCCTTCCAAAGTTTTGATAACATTTTTATGCACATTAAAACAAAATAAGAAAAAAAAATCAATCGCTTCAAGTGTATTCGATTGGGATGCTTTGAATCCAAAAGTTTGGACTCTTTTTATATAGGATTGGAGACCACCTCAATATACTACCTTCTACCAATGTGGGATTAAGAACCTTATATCATATTAGTTAATCTCTCATAAAAAATACATAAGTTGTGATCAGTTGTATTCTATGAAAGTTTACTGTTATAATGTATACAAAAAAAATTTATGGTATAATCTGTACATAATAAATAGAAAAATCTATGTCAACAGCCAAATATGTAACTGGTAACCTACTGTTACAAGTAATGTAATTGTATTTTTTGAACAAAGGTGAAGTGTAAGGGTGATATGTGTACAAACGTTTTAGTTGGTTGACGATATATATAAAAAAAATTCAATGATATTTTTTGTACAATTATGTTTCGTTATCCTTACAAGTCATTTTCCCTTTTTTTTTTTTTTTTTTTTCTTTATAAGGTCCTTTTTTACTCCACCTTATAGGTGAACAAACCGGATTTTTAAATTGAATAGGACTGGTTTGATATTCGCTTTGGTTTTTCTCTACAACAACAAAATTGGTTTGAAAAACCTATGTTTTCATTATTTTTGTCGGACTTGATTTTGGTGTGAGAAGCTCACGAAATCTCCTAGTTTGATCACAAATCACCCAATAAGCAAAACTCATCGCTTCCTCATAACATAAGGTGTTTTCCAGCCATTGATCCCAAGGTTTAAAACGAAATTTTTTTACTTTATATTTTAGAAAAAAATGTTTATCGATGATCGGGGCTGGTATAAGGTGTCAAGTCGATAGGTTTGACATATCTCAAATCTCAATTCAATTTTAAATGAGATGTTCATTTTCAAACCGACATGTTCCTTTTTTTTGGTTCAAATTGTGGAACTTGTGAATATTAAACAGTCTAAATAGAAATCACAAAATGTGACATTACACATAAATGAGAAAAATAGTCCCCAAACTATACATAATAACATGATTAACATCCAACATTCACAATTATGAATAATATTCTCTAAATAGAATCCAGATTCATAGATCTTCATAAAATGTCTCGAATCTAAAACTCTATACATATGCTATTGAACAGGTTCGTGGGACATGGCGATGGATGCTTGGAGTAGCTGCTGTTCCTGCTATAATCCAATTCTTCTTGATGTTATTTCTTCCCGAATCTCCACGGTGGCTTTACATGAAGAAAAGCAAATCCGACGCCATTGTTGTCCTCTCGAAAATCTACGATCCTTACCGGTTAGAAGAAGAACTCGATCAGCTTTCCACCGCTCTAGAAGAAGAACACCAACGCAAAAACGCCGTGAGTTACTGGGACGTGTTCAGAATCAAAGAAATCCGCCTTGCCTTTTTCGCCGGAGCTGGTCTTCAAGCTTTCCAACAGTTCACCGGCATCAACACAGTCATGTACTACAGCCCAACCATAGTTCAAATGGCCGGATTCAAATCAAACCAGTTAGCCCTTTTACTATCCCTCATAGTCGCATTAATGAACGCCGCAGGCACCGTCGTCGGAATCTACCTCATCGACCATTTCGGCCGCCGGAAATTAGCGTTAAGCAGTCTGTCAGGTGTAATCCTCTCTTTGATTCTTCTATCGGTTGCGTTTTACTTTGAATCGATTGGGGTTGCGAACATTGGGTGGGTCGCTGTTCTAGGGTTAGCTCTTTACATCGCGTTCTTCGCCCCTGGTATGGGTCCGGTTCCATGGACGGTGAACTCCGAGATATATCCGGAATCGTATAGAGGGATATGTGGAGGGATGTCGGCGACGGTGAATTGGGTGTCGAATTTGGTGGTGGCGCAGAGCTTTCTTTCGATTGCGGAAGCTGTTGGGACTGGTTGGACGTTCTTGATTCTGGCTGCCATTGCTGTTCTTGCGTTTGCGTTTGTGTTTGTGTTTGTGCCGGAGACGAAAGGGTTGAGCTTTGAGGAAGTTGAGAGGATATGGAAGGAGAGAGCTTGGGGGAGGAGTAGTTCTTCGCGTTTGGAATCTCTTATTGAAAATAGAGAGGAACCCTAAACCTAAAGAAATGGAAGAAGGAAGGTAAATGATGGAAATTGAAAATGGATATGGTGTATAGCGATCTTGGTGTAGATGAGATAATACGAAAAAGAAAATACAGTAGTAAACATGAATGTGTATGGTTTAAATGTGATTTTCACTTGATATTATTAAACCATTCAAGATTTTCAAGTGAATGGTGATGATACCTTTGATGTGGTTTAGTTTCACTTTGTAATTCATGACTATTACAAAGTGTGGTATGATATATATATCTAAAAATCTTGATTTTTATTAAGAATTTGAAACGTTTTCCAATATTCCTAATTAAGGAGAGGGAAATTTTTGGTAACAACGTTTTTTGTTTTGTTAAAAAATATTATTGAATTTGTGTTTCTTGCTCATATAAACATTAAAATGGTTTTGACTCTTATATCAGTCAAAACTAATCAAATAAAAAATGAATAAAAATATATTAAAAGTAAAAATGTAATTTACAATTAATTGAAAAAGATAATAGAGGGGTGCTTACCACACCATGGTTCATATTTTTTGTGTTTTCTTTATAAGCTTAGAGAAGGATAAATTTTCAAATCTCTTCCTTGTTCATATTTTGATGGCTTGATGAGCAAGTGGAAGAGAAAAGAAAGTTTTATGAGAAGGAAATCTTATCAGATTCGTTTTTGTTTATATTTTAGGGGGTTTTTTTCAACACGTTTGAATAGAAAAAAAAAATTATTGTTTATTTTGTGTTTTCTTTAGAAGTTTGAAAAAATAAAAGAAGTTTTTATGGGTTTTACCTTACTTCAGCTTATTTTGACGAGTTATTCTATCAGCTTTTATTTTATTTTCAGTTCATATTACCAAGAAAATATATAGGTTTTATTCATTCAAACATTTATGAAGCTTACAAAGACATTACAGATCAATTTCATCACTTGTTGGTGACTTATTTAGAAAATGGACAAGAAAAGAAAGTTCTTATGAGTTTTTTTACCCATTTCTAGTTTATATTACAAGAAACTCGTTTTCATGTAGAGATTCAGTCTACACCTTCCATCCTTGAGATAGCTGTTTGTAAGCACAATTATGTTGCTTGTACATTCCATAAACCTAAAAAAAAGTTTACTACAATCTGTCCCTTTTCAATCGAAAAAAGGGAGGTGGTATATACGGTATGCACTATAAACCAAAGGCGAAAACCCACGAGGGACCTATCTGGTCCATTTCTCCACACACACAAAAGAAAAAAGAAATGGGACCCACCATTCCATTACTCTTCCCAGATGTGACCTCTCCCGATGAACCATCATCAACCTCTGCTCCTCCCGACGACGCACCACCAATAACAACCTTGTCTCATTGTTGGTAGCAACCAAGTTGACCAGCTGTAGTCTTCGGCGATCAGAATCCATTTCTGGCCGTTCCCAACTAGTTGACCGCCAACTTCGGACGAAGCAACTTCGCAAAGACCTTCATCCTTTGGTAGCGATTACCGACCCAAAAACCTCTGATCGCCGATCGCTCATCAACGCCTAACGTTAGTAGCTCCGACTGTCGACCACCGCTTATTGCCGCCTGCTGCCTCGATAAACCTCCTTCAACAACAGTACCATCTCCGCCAACTAAAAGCGGATCCAAAGTGCCACCAGTCAGCTGTTGGATTAATGTCTAAGTCCATAACTATAATTGGTAAGACTTGACCTAACCCGGCATGGTCCATTTGAGTTGCATGGCATCATGCATTTGGATAGACTAAAATGAGATAAATAACACTTAAGGTTGGTTAATATATTATAAATTCTAATATATTAATAAGATTATTTAATTAGTATTGATCAAGAATTAATCTAGAATTAATTAAGTGATCAAAAGAAGACTAATTAAATATATGAGTTGATTGTGTGAATCATCCATACTTGTATAGTGGGCTAAGACTCCATGGATTATCAAGTTGGGCTAAAACCCATAGGATGCTCCATGATGTATTTGAACCCATGGATCCAAGGAAATGGAAAGCCATGACAATTAGGGTTTACCTTAATTATGACACTATATAAAGATTTTATTGTTGACAAAATTGGCACTAGAATATATGTGAAAGGGCTAGCCGATTTTCATGAAGTGTGGATTTCTCTCTAATCTATTCCAAGTGTATTTGGTGTTGTGTGAACCATTTGAGGTGTCACACTTGGGGCACTAGGCACTCAAGCTTCATGAAGAAATTCTACATCAATGAGGCATGTAATTCTAACTTGATATATTTATATGAATCAATGTTATTATGCTAGTTAGGATGAATACCTTGGAAAGTTCATATTTGCATGTATAATAGAGAAAACATAGATCCAAGGTATTTAGGTTTGCATGTACACTTAGGAGTGTTAGAATGCTCAAAACCCAACAGTGGTATCAGAGTCTAGGCTTGTTTTCAATTATACTTGATGCAAATTGCTGAAAAAAGTTGAAAAAATTGATTTTTTGGCTTTCTGGGCACTGGACTCGCCGAGTCCACTGATGAACTTGTCGAGTCCATGAAGAAAATCACCCTACTCGTCGAGTAGGTTGATACCCTCGACGAGTAGGAGCCCCAGACAACATATTTTCGAGTTTTTTTTGGCTAGAAATGGACTAGGAACATTAACCTAAGCTGTTTTGAACTTATAAACTTGTTTTTGATGTGGTAATGTTCATACTAATCCAATTTCAAAGATAATTGTCAATAGATTCATGTTTTGTATTACTTTAGTGATTAGGCTAATTACATGAAATTTTTTGATTTGAATTATCTTGTTCTTATGAGTTGCTTGGATTAATAGAAAAGTTAATTGATTATTTGTTTTCAATCCATTTTAATCTAAGAGATGATTCTAAATTGTGTTTGTGTAACTTGTCCGCAAGTTACATCAAAGGTCACATTCAAGTTTCTTAAAACTTATAAAAGATGACAAAAGTTACAAAATGAAGTCTTGTTCTCATTAAATGGTTTTATGACTCCATAACTTGTCCTCAAGTTATGGAGGTTCAAGAGTCACTTCATTAAGTAATAAAATGTGTAACCTTAATTAATTTCATAAGTTACAAAATAAAGAAAAGTTATATTCTTTTATTAGTTTAAAGTCTTCCATAACTTGTCCTCAAGTTATGGAACTTGAAGAGTCTTTTAATTAAAACTACTTTAAACACATAAGTTATGGAATTAATTAGTTTTGAATAGTTTCAAAACTTGCCCTCAAGTTTTGGAATTTGAAAAGTTTTCACTTATGAATACTTTAATTTCAAGTTAGCCCTTAGAATTTTAAAAGTTAAAATTCAACCCTTATACTTTATAATATTATAAGTTAATAATATATATATATATATATATATATATATATATATATATATATATATATATATATATATATATGTATAAGAGTAAAGTCAGTCTTACCGTTAGTAGGCCTCATCCACGAAGCCGGTCTATAAGGGGGTATAAGGTTACTGTCTATAAAATGACAGTTTAATGGGTGTCCACTCTCACCCACCGCTTCCTTGATTGGTGGAGGGTCGTTAGCCGAACGGGTAGGACAAGGACTATAATTCTCCCTTCATTAAAAGTATTAATGATAAATACTAAGTAACTAAACTCTTATAAATTCCCAATCTTAGTTACTTTAGGAAAATGTGAATAAGGTGCTAATCCATGAAATTACACTTTGCACTTTGTTTAAGTCGGTTGGTGGAGCATGTGTGGTTAACCGGCACACTAACTCGTATTTAACAAGGTAGGCAAAGGGTAACTTAATGTTTATCATAGTATTAATGGAGCATGTGTGGTTAACCGACACATTGATTGAGGGGTAAATACTTAAGGGTACCAAGTAATTTGCATGGTTACTTCACACCTTGTTTTGTGATCCTTGGAATCCCAGTCACAAAACCTGAAGGGCACACTCAAGATTGAAACATGCCATTGAAAAGTTCAATGAATCTCAAAAGAATCTAGGAGTTTCAAAACCAATTAAAACCTAATAATACGTTTCGTTTATCTTGGTGGAAATTGGTGAATCGTCATTCACCTACCTTCAAATATTTTATAGCTTGGATTACGGCATCCCTATTCCAAGTTATAAAAGTATTGTGTTGGGTCCTAGCCTTAATATTTCATATTGGGTGTTATATTAAGGACTTTAAATCAACTATCTTGAATATCTCCCAAAAGATGTCTGGTTTAGACATCTATAATCATCCCAAATCTCTTGAAACAAGCTTTCCTAAATGAAGATGATGTCCCATGGAAATGAAGATGATGTCCCATGGAAATCATACTTCTTTCACCTCCTCCAATTATTCTCCCTAACCCATAAGTTCTTGAAAAGTTTAAGGTCACTCAAGCCCTATTGGCAAGCAAAGGTCTATGTGTGATCACATCTTGGAGATGTAGTCACATATTGACAAACCGGGAAAGTTGGGTGTCAAAGTCTTGAGAAAGTTGGTGGCTCAACTACTTTCTAAGTCACATAGTGAGTTCCTTTGGGACTCCTATGAAATAGGCTATGACAAGACCCTTAATGATCTTATCTATTTGCTAAGATCAACTTCCTAAAACTTTATGGACATTGACAATGAAGACACTAGAAATCCAGAAAAGCATTCTCTTCCCAATGGAAAGGGATCGGCCATAGTCAACTCCGTTGACCAAATGGTAAAGAGAAAAGCTAAGTTTGTGATAGTCCTGCATACCATTACCAAAGGGTCCGTATGTTTATATTGCCAAAGGAAGGGGCATTAGTTGCAAAGCTGCCAATTTTACCTAAGGATGTTAAAGTCAATAAGTTTGACTCTACTTCAGGTAAAGTCCACTATCTAACTCTGCTAAGTTTGTATTATGAGATTCTTGATAAATGATGTGACTGCCCAGAACAAAGAATGGTCACGACATGATTTAGGTGGTCGTTGATCGATTCACTAAGAGTGCACATTTCATAGCAGTCAATGAGAAATGGTCTATGGAAAAGCTTGTGAATTCTTACGTG